GAGGGGACACAGGGACAAGGGGTCACAACTGGAAGCTGAAGACTCAGACGAGTCACAGGGACGTTAGGAAGTATTTCTTCAGTCATAGAGTTGTCAGCAAGTGGAATAGCCTAGCAAGTGAAGTAGTTGAGGCAGGAACCATACATAGTTTTAAGAAGAGGTATGACAAAGCTCAGGAAGAAAGAGAGAGAGAGGATCCAGTAGCGATCAGTGAAGAGGCGGGGCCAGGAGCTGAGTCTCGACCCCTGCAACCACAATTAGGTGAGTACAATTAGGTGGGTACACAAGCATATACAACAGGCCTAGTGTGTAATCGACATGTGCCTAGGACAAAATGGTAACTAACACACACTCACAAACAAGTTAGCAGCATACAGAATATTCAAATTAACTGCCTAGGTCAGACCGGGTTACAAGAGATGAGTAAGATACAACAGTTGTGTATTTTTGTTAACAAGTTTCTCCTACGCTGTCACTATTGTCACTATCTTGAACACTGTTATACTTAATAATCCACTTATTGAAGATTTCAGAGATAGACAGTATAATAACATATGTGACATGTCAAGATACCTTATTAATGTTTTGAGGTGGTCAGTCCCTCAGCCTGGAGAAGACTTGAACTTCTTAGTCAGGAACAATGTGAAGCATCAGACTGAAGCTTTATATATTGTCAAGGTGAGGTGCGGAGAATGTTGAAGTCACAGGTGAGCCCCGTTAGTCGTAGCAACAATGTAAGAATTAAGGATAAATTAGACACATGTGCAACACTTGGGTATCTTTAATGAGGAAACGTTTCGCCACACAGTGGCTTCAACAGTCCATACAAAGAAGAATGTTGAAGAACAGGAGGAGTTTGAGGTAATCAGTCCCTCAGCCCTGAGTCCATGTGGTCAGTCCATTCTTTTCAAGACTGATGGATTGATGGACTCACCACATCAACACAAGGTTGAAGGACTGATTACCTCAGACTCCTCCTGTTCTTCAACATTCTTCTGTGTATGGACTGATGAAGCCACTGTGTGGAGAAACGTTTCCTCATTAAAGATACCCAAGTGCTGCACATGTGTCTAATTTATCAACTTGTTCGTTCTCTGAACCATTCATCTACAATAATTAAGGAGCACTGCAGGAAGTCTACTGGCCTGAACACTGCAGGAAGTCTACTGGCCTGAACACTGCAGGAAGTCTACTGGCCTGAACACTGCAGGAAGTCTACTGGCCTGAACACTGCAGGAAGTCTACTGGCCGGAGCACTGCAGGAAGTCTACTGGCCGGAGCACTGCAGGAAGTCTACTGGCCTGAACACTGCAGGAAGTCTACTGGCCTGAACACTGCAGGAAGTCTACTGGCCTGAACACTGCAGGAAGTCTACTGGCCGACACTAAGTAGATCCTTCTCACATCCATCCCATCTAACTCATAACTGTTCTCTCTTGGAAGAAAATCAGAATGCAGATGTAATATACACAGACTTTGCAAAAGCATTTGACAAATGCGATCATGGCGTAATAGCCCATAAAATACGTGCTAAAGGAATAACTGGGAAAGTGGGGAGATGGATCTTCAACTTCCTAACAAATCGAACACAAAAAAGTAGTGGGCAACAGAGTTAAATCAGAGGCTGCCATAGTGAAGAGCTCTGTTCCACAAGGCACAGTACTCGCCCCCATGTCATTCCTCATAGACAGAGATATACACCACAGCACCGTATCATCCTTTGCGGATGATACTAGGATCTGCATGAGGCTGTCATCTGCTGAGGACGCGGTTAACCTCCAAGAAGATATAAACAAAGTTTTCCAGTGGACAACGGTAAACAATATGATGTTCAATGAGGACAAATTCCAACTACTCCGTTATGGAAAACTGGAGGAGATAATAACTAGAACAGAGTATACTTCAGACTCCGGCCATACAATAGAGCGGAAAAATAATATAAGGGACCTGGGAGTAGTAATGTCTTTGGATCTCACTTTCAAGGATCACAACAATGCCACGATCCCACGTGCAAAGAAAATGATAGAATAGATAATGAGAACGTTCAAAACGAGAGATGCCAAGCCAATGGTCCTTTTCAAATCACTTGTTTTCTCTAGGCTGGAATACTGCTGTACATTAACATCTCCATTCAAAGCAGGTGAAATTGCAGATCTAGAGAGTGTACAGAGATTCTTTACTGCACGTATAAGTTCTGTCAAGCACCTTAACTAATGGGAACGCTTGGAAGCAATTAACTTGTACTCGTTGGAACACAAGAGAGAGAGATATATCATAATATAAACTTGGAAAATCCTGGAAGGAATGGGCCCAAATCTGCACACAGAAATCACTCCTACGAAAGTAAAAGACTGGGCAGGCGATGCAAAATGCCCCCAATTAAAAGTAGGGGCGCCATTGGTACACTAAGGGAAAACACCATAAGTGTCCGGGGCCCAGACTGTTCAACAGCCTCCCATCAAGCATTAGGGGAATTGCCAATAAACCCCTGGCTGTCTTCAAGAGAGAGCTGGACAGATACCTAAAGTTAGTGCCGGATCAGCCGGGCTGTGGCTCGTACGTTGGACTGCGTGCGGCCAGCAGTAACAGCCTGGTTGATCAGGCCCCTGATCCCACCGTGAGGCCTGGTCATGGACCGGACCGCGGGGGCGTTGATTCCCGGAATAACCTCCAGGTAACCTCCAGGTGTAATCTTTTCTGTATACGACTGGAGAGAGTGAATCTGGCAAGTAGAAAGTTGAGAGGCGAGACCAGGAGCTAAGAATCAACCCCTGCAACCACATATAGATGACCACATAAACAGTAAATATTCTGAAGTGATAGCTAGTGTAGGGAAGATTTTTTTCTTGACAGTTCAGTGAAAGAACGTCAACGTTATCTGTGACGAAAGAGAAAACGTCAACGTTATCTGTGACGAGCAACTTGATGTGAACAATCCTTGGAGGACCTAAAAGATTAACTCAATAGCTGACATCAGACCTAGCCTAGGAGAGAGTTATAGAGGCTGTAACAGTCTGGAGATCTGAAGATGTGGGTTCCGGATGTACAAGAAGCTTCAGATGCTAATATATAAAATTTTGTGTGTTGCATTGTAAGACTTTCCTTCTAGGCGGCTTTTCTTTGATTGATAAGATAAGATAAATTTGTTCGAAAAGCATTTAGCGATATTTACTACCACCACTGCCAGATATACTCCAGGTATACCTGGAGTATACCTGGAGAGGATTTCGGGGGCCAACGCCCCCGTGGCCAGGTCTGAGACCAGGCTTCGTGGTAGATCAGAGTCTAATCAACCAGGCTGTTACTGTTGGCCACACATGTCCTCAGCAGAATTTATCTGACAGCTTATTTTAGTGTCATCTCACACATGCTTATGTCGCTATTTATACATTCATCTATGCTGTTTATTTATACTTTGAATAACAACGGATCCAATACTGATCCCTGTGGAACACCCCTTGTCATGAATTCTCACTCTAATTTCTCCCCATTTATGCAAACTGTTGCATATCTGTCAGCCACACCTCTCTCCAGGAAAAAAAATCCCCTCCTATTCCGTGTCCCTATTTTCCTCAACAATCACCGGTGAGGAACTCTGTCAGAGGCCTTACTGAACTTCGTATACACAATATCATAATCACTGCCATGACTTACCTTCTCAGATACCTTCGTGAAAGACTTAGTATATTCGTAAGGCAAGAACGCAGCTTTGTAAAGCTGTGCTAAGATTCGTTAATCAAATTATTTCTTTCAAGGTGGCTTCGAATTGTATAAACAATTATTGATTCTATCGACTTTCCCGCAATTAAGGTTAAGCTAAATGGCCTATAATTTGAAGCAAAGGACCTGACTCCCGCTTTGTAAATCGGTATTTCATTTGCTGTTTTCCATTTTAATCAGGTACAACACCTGTTTGTAGCTACATGCTGAAGAGACCTAACTAAGGGTTTGCTAAGCTCCTTATATTCCTTTAGAATCCTAGAGAACATTTCATCAGGGCCCCGTGACTTGTTTGGTTTCAATCTATCTAGTTGTTTGAAGACCATGTCACTAGTGACTTTGATACTGCATAATTTATTTTCGTCCTGAAGGTACAGTTATTGATAACTGGGATTTTGTTTTTATTCTCTAGTGTAAAACAAGAAAGGAATAAGTGACAAAAAAAGGCGCAACACCGTAACTTGAACGATACACAAATAACACGGGCCAAGTAGAACCTAACGTCGTCGTAAGCTCCTCTCTTTTATTTGCGGGTTATTTTTGTAAGGAATAAGTGTTGAAAATAGTACACATTTCTTTGTCACTAACAGTTAGCTAACCCGAGTTACCTTGACGGTGACCCAACTTTTCCATGAAAGAAACGAATAAGGTACGAACAGTAATTCGAATAGCTTCGGCAGTTATTGGTTTCAGTTGTCCCACAATGGAGGTTAGGCTAATTGGTCTATAATTCGAAGCTAGCGACCTGTCACCTGCGTTGTAGATAGGTATTCACATTCATCATTGTCCACTTATCCAGCACTATGCTAGTTTGTTGTAATATGTTGACAAGACTAGCAAATGATTTCCTCCTTACATTCCTTTATAACCCCTGAGAACGGTTCATCAGTTCCTGGAGGTTTGTTGGGTTTTAATTTATCTGTTTGAGGACTATATCACCCTTGACTTTGATCGTTTTTAAAGTATTTTCGTCCTGATATAATCAGATCTAATCTAATCAGACTTTTCGTCCTGATATAATCAGAGCTAATCTAATATAATCAGATCTAATCTAATTAGACTTTTCGTCCTTATATAATCAGAGCTAATCTAATAAGACTTTTCGTCCTGATATAATCAGAGCTAATCTAATCAAACTTCTCGGCCTGATATAATCAGAGCTAATCTAATCAGACTTTTCGTCCTGATATAATCAGATCTAATCTAATCAGATTTTAGAAACCGCTCTTCGCACATACATGCACACACGCACCAGTTGTTGAGTTTTTGTATCACGTGATGTCTCCGACTCCCTGGCATACTTGCTGCACCCTTCAGTGTTTACCAGCGTCAGTGTCTCCCTCACTGTCTCCTTGTGCCAGTGTCTGCGTCTCCCTCCACCAGTGTCTGCCTGCGTCTCCCTCCACCAGTGTCTGCCTGCGTCTCCCTCCATCAGTGTCTGCCTGCGTCTCCCTCCACCAGTGTCTGCCTGCGTCTCCCTCCACCAGTGTCTGCCTGCGTCTCCCTCCACCAGTGTCTGCCTGCGTCTCCCTCCACCAGTGTCTGCCTGCGTCTCCCTCCACCAGTGTCTGCCTGCGTCTCCCTCCATCAGTGTCTGCCTGCGTCTCCCTCCACCAGTGTGTATCTGAGAGCCGACCAGCTGCTGATGGATAGTTTG